CTTTCTTCCAATTTATAGTTAGAGAAAATATTGTGCTTCTAAGAGATACTTTTTATTTTTGCTGAACAGCTGTAGGACTGTGTCTTTTTAACTCTATGATTGTATGTTGGATGTGCCCCATAAAAGCAATTACTTTAGAAAGTGCAGAAAATCTTTTGAAAGAAAAACTGCAATATTGATGGCAATTTTTATGAACTTTTGCTATTGTGTTGTGATATAGAAGTGTTACATTTTTTTCTACATTCCATATGTTTTTTATCTTTCTTTCTATCTATTTTTTATTATTTTCTAATGGTAAGACTTTCCTTGTTGTAGTGCTCTGTGTTTGTTTACAATGGAGGACAGCGTGGATCATGCAAGTCCAGATCAGACTGTACAGTCACCTTCGTTGGCACTCCTGGAAAGACTGCAGCAGCTCCGGAAGTGGCAGGAGGAGCAGAGGGAGGCCCTCATGCAAACCCATTCCAGCAGCTTCTTTAATGTGTCTACAGATTCCTTCAACCACTCAAAGTCAACTGGCAATCAGAGCTTTGGTTCAGGAAGTCTAAGAGATACTCCAGATTCCCAGTTGTCAAAGTCTTCAGGAAGCGGATTTTCACATCAGCGTGAGAGTTGCCAGAAAGGGGGTCATAATACTCCCACCCAGAGAATAAGCTCCCTCAGAGCACAAGTACACAGTGACCAGGCAACTTGGTCAGCAGCACAAAGACAGGATGATAGTGTCTCCGGTGTTTCTGATTTACACCAGATCGTAGATCATAACCAGAAGGATAATGCTGGTTTTGGAAACATGGATTATCAAGGGGATAAATTTAAGTATGCTAAAGAGAAAACCCATGAAAAGCTAAGCAAAGCACCTTTAGTGAGACCTGTACTCCTTACTGCAAGATCTGTGGAAAACCAGCCTATTACCAGTCAAGGGAAGACTTTTGAAGATATCTTGGAGGAGAATATGGCCAAGGAGGGTTTCCAAGGGAATGGTGAGTGTAGAATGAAGCCAAAGAAACCATTCTTAAAGAAAAGGAGCGGACTTTCACAATATGAGGGAAAGGGTAATGTTGATACCAAGGGAGCCGAACCACCTACATCAGTATTAAGATATGATATTGAAGAACTGCCCACAGAACCTGTACAAGTGAAACCCAAACAAAGATATCTCAGGAAGGGTGAAGGAACAGCAAGGTTTAGGATGGCTCCTCTAAGACTAAAGAAACAAAAAGTGATTCAGGTCCACGGGGATAATGGCACCAAGAATCCCATCCCTCAGAAACATCAAGAAGATGCCTTAACAAATCCAAGGCCCTCAACAAATGCCAGGGCTGGTAATCAAGGACCAGTTTCTCGCAGTAGTCTGGCACATACATATCCAAGTAAAATATCAAATAGGCCTATAAGTAGACTTCAGTTAAAGGCTATTCCAAAAACTACAGGTGTGACTGAAGCGCCTGTTGGTGACTGGAGCCCTGTATCAGAGAAGGGAATAAATGAAAGCCAAATATCTGAAGGTGAGAGCCATGATGTTGACAAAATTAAAGGCCGTAAAGATAGATTTGCACCATCTGTACTAAAACAGTTGGAGGATGACAAACAAAGACGCAAAGAGCAAGAGGAGTTATCAGCATTTGAAAAGCTTGAGGAGCTAGCTGCAGACTCCAGTTTTTCATCTAATTCTTCCACTGTTTGGCAGTTGCTACAGAGAGGGCAGCGGTCAGCCTCATCCACCCCGTTACGTTCACCTCCACCGTTTACTCCACAAGCAACTCCTATAACAAAGGTTAGCAACCAGCAGCAGGGAAGCAGTGTAGCAAGTAACCTTTTACAGAGACTGATTCAGGCAGGTGTTACTACAGAGGAAGAGAATCAAAGCAGGAATCAACAGAATGCAATCCATGACCAGTTAAAACCAGTGCTTAGTGTTAAACACCAGCAACAGCACAGGCAGGATCAACTTCCCCAGCAGCTGTTGAATGTGAGCACTGTACTTGAGCAGTTGAGAGCAATTGTAAGATTAGAAGAGACTGTCAATATAAGTGTCTCTGAAGATGATATCCAGACACTTATTGAGAGCTTTGTCAAACCTAACATTTCCTCACCCCTTGACTCAGCCACTCGTTTTTTACATGGGGTGCAACAGCCGATTGACAACAGGACAAGTACCCCAGCACAGCCAGCAGGTGTAACTCCTAGTTCAGGGCCACGCGTGCATTTCAGAAGTGAGGGAGTGGAAGTGCTGGAATATGAGCCCTCAGACACAGAAGCAGAGGATACCTTGACAGATGCCCCATCCATTGCAGAGGACGACACTGATCTAGTCACCACATCAGATTTAGAGGCATTAGCACTTCTAACAACACACAAATCTAATCGAAATAAGTCCCCCTCAGACACACAAGAAAGACATTCAGCAGATGAAGATGACAGCAGCACCAACACACTGATTGATGAAAGATCTGCATCTTTCTCACCACAAAACAAAGTTCAGCCCCTTATGCTGCAGTTCTCACCACCACCTCAAAGACCCCATCATTCTGCATCAAATTATATCTGGTCAATTTTTGGCAGAGACAGGGATTCCGGAAAAGATGTGAATAAAGATAAAATCCCATGTCAGAATAGGACTGACAGGGAACTTCCTCATTCCAAGCACAAAAATCAGCAGGATGTTAAAAGTGCACAAAACATTCAAGAGAATCCTGCACAGGAAGTAGAATCTCAGCAAGGTCAATCTTTGAAAAAGGATGAGAAATGCCTGAACGATGAAATTGAATCTCACAAGGCACTTCTTCTGGCAAAAATTTGTGAATTAGAAAAAGAAACTGATGCATTTAAGAAAGAAACTTTAAAGCTCAAGAATCTCCAACAGTCATTACAGAAAGAAAAAAGGCTTTTGGGAGAAGAAAAAGAGAAGTTAGTTGCTAACCTGGAGAAAGAGAAAATTAATTTCCAAAAATATGTAGACAAAGAGAGGAACAATCTTTGGAAAGAGAAACAAGAACTTCAGCGTGCAGCTCCATCCATATCTATGGTTCAGGAGAAGTCTTTAGAAATTGTTTACCTTAAGGAAAAAATGCATGACCTAGAAGAGGAACTACAAAAGAAGGAATCCCTGCAACAATTTGCCGTAAAGAAATTTAATGATAGAATAAAAGCACTTGAGCAGGAAAATAAGCAACTAAGAGAGAAAAATTCTTTATTACAAATGTTGGAAAAGGAGAATTTAGATCTCAAACACAGACTAGATAGAACAAAACTTTCAAAGAAACCAGCTCTTAGGGATATGCAAAACAAAAACCAGATAAAGACGTCAAAGATTAAAAAGAAAACAGTCACTATTGATAGCATCAACAGATCTCTTTCCAAAAATTTGACTGAAGCTCCACTAAAGTCAGTTACTTGTCATATAGAACCAACAACAAAGGAAACGAAAATGCAATACAATCCACTGAGTGAAAGAGATGAAAATCAAGATTTAGTAAGGAATGATGGTAGATATCAAGCACAAATTCCAGACAAAATTACAAGAGATGGTGCAGCTGAACAACCCCAAGATGCAGGTCTGATCAAAGAGTCCATTGTGTTACAAGAAGACTTATCAGTAGTAGACATGCCCAAAGAAGCCAAGTTAACTCCTGTTTCTGGGAAGTCATTTTCAGCAGACGATAAAATCAGTGAATATACTGAAGTCCACAGAAGTGATGGCATCACAGAGGTTACGTATGCTAATGGAAACAAAAAGTTTATTTATCCAAATGGTTCCATTGTAGTAAGCTACTATAATGGGGATAGGAAGGAAGTACACAATGATAGAACTATATACATTTATGGAACTGATCATACTAGTCATACAACATATAATGATGGAAAGGAGATTTTAGAGTTTCCCAGCGGCCAGAAGGAGACACGTCTTCCTGATGGTTCCTCAGAAATTGTTTTTGCAGATAATTCTAGGAAGACCATATCAAAAGATGGAACAGAAACTTGTACAATGAAAGATGGCACAGTTGTTCGAACTAGCCCTGATGGAACTAAAGTGTTTGAATTTGCCAATGGACAAAGAGAAATTCATACAAACAAAGAGAAGCGAAGAGAGTACCCAGATGGAACAGTTAAGATCCTTCACCCTGATGGTCGCACTGAAACCCGGTACAAAACAGGACGTGTTCGCATCAAAGATAGCAGAGGGAACATTATTAGTGATACCCACCAAGGTGTTCCATAACATGGCGATACATTTTGTGCCTCAGAAAAGCCTCCTTTCTGGAACCTAGCAGTTCTCTTTCTCTTTTTTCCTTCTTTCCCATCATTATCTCCTTTATTTAGATATCATTACATAATTTAGTTGTTGTTTTTTTCTATCTTTGTCCTGGTTGAGGTAGGGATGACTGCTTAAGAACTTTTTTTGTGTGACTTTTCAATAAGATCTAAGCTTGAGTGAGTGCTGTTTTTGGTAATGCTTTTGATAATTAGGCCATGAAGAATATCAGCATAAGCTTATGTAAAATTCATTTAATGAGATCTATTTCTTATACATATCTTACTTTAGGTTCAGTGGAGACTTGAAGAAAACATATCCATGTATTGATGTTTTTATTTTTTGTGCAGTAAAATGTGAATGATATGTGTACATTTTCTTTGAACCAATTGTTTCTTTCTTTTATATTCTTTGCAAGTTACAGAAAGTGTTTATATTATGAATATAAAGATAATTATAACCTTTATGCAAGGCAAAACTAGTATTATGGGATCAAAGAGGTACATTTTATAACCAAGTAAAATAGATTTATTTAGATTGGCAAGTATTTAAAGTTACCTTGGACTTTGCTGTATTAACTTAACCCAATGCTGCTAGGAAAGTTTGTTCATTGTTGTATTGTTTTGTGAAATGTCTCATACATATAGATGGCTCCACAAGTGCTCAGCCACCATAGACACAATTAGCAGACTTTGTAACCTCATCTAATTTCATATTTTCTAGAGTATTTTTGGATTTTACTTTTTTG